GTCAGAGAGAGAGAGAGAGAGAGAGAGAGAGAGAGAGAGAGAGAGAGAGAGAGAGAGAGAGAGAGAGAGAGAGAGAAATGAAAAAGGGTACAAGAACCTTTTATATCTTTGGAAGACCAGGGACAATACCAACATATGTCATCCCTACCGTCTTCACCCGAATATAACGCCCGCCGCCTGGTCATTATAGCTGTATTTGGCACAACTTTCAGCCCAGATACGGCGATAATTACTGGTCGTTCTATTCCGGTGAAGACGGTAGTTAAGCCGAGCATGGGTCCCAAAGTTAGGCCCGGCATGTGGACATGTTAAGGGCAGGCCCCGCTGAGCTATGTCTACCTCTGTCAAGGTTTTGAAATCCGATACATGTTATCAGATATTGATTTTTTTTTTCATGGAGATGGCCCCAGCCAGACACACACTGTCAGATCCAGCAAGTTTTTTTTCATGCAAATGTGACAAATTGACAGAGCACATCGGTAAGTGGGGGGGTTACTGCCAACTCAGCATGCACCTGACTCAACACCCAGACCAGCTTCGCAGGAAGTTCGAGCTAGCATACTAGGCAAATGCAAGCAAACGGGGCATGGCATTACCTTGCTCACCACAGCGTCCAATAGGCCCACCCCTGCAGCAGCATTCTCTGCCAGCTTGTCGACAGCCTCGCGCCCTTCTGGTGGTAATGACGCCGTCAATTTCTCATACAGCTCAAGGAAGGTTCCACGTACGGCTGCAAAACTCTTCTCTTTGGTCGTTGCGAGGGTCTCCAAGAAGTAGCGACTTGATTCCTCCAGACTTCCCACCAACCCTTGTTGTGCATCGGTGAGGCCGCTGCCTACGTTATCGACGGACAAATTCACTTCTGATCGCACGCTTTCTATGAACGAGCGATACGACCGCACAATGTTGTCGATGGCGTTTTCCACGCTACTGTTGATCGATTCCGCCGCATCGTTAACCACGTTGCTGACAGATTGCGTGGCACTTTGATAATATGTGCTTTCTGAGTCCGGCTCCGACGATTCAACTCCGCCAGTCACATCGTCAAATGCAGACGCCGGTGCTTCTTCCGACTCTTCCGACGCAGCAGGTGCAGCTGCTGCTGGCAACGCCTCCTGAAGTGACCCGTCCACCCCTCCTCCTCCTCCTCCTCCTCCTTCTCCGAGACTTGTCGACTGTCCCGGCTGTGTCAATCCCTCCTTCTGGGCCCTTAACAAGTCAACACTCGCAGCATCCTCTACGAGTTCATTGGCAGTTGATGGCGTGACAGATGCTGGCGCAGCAGCGGTGGCACTGTTGCTGGCAAGTTCATCTGCATTGCTGGCACTTGCAGCCTCCTCCTCCGCAGGTTCAACAGACGTGGCCGCAATAGAGGACTCGTCGGCAGAGGCTGACATCACATCTTCTTTTTCGATTGACTTGGCAGCACTGTCGCCTATCTCCTCCTGCCGTGTGTCCTCGGGGACCAAAACTGACCCACTACCACTACTAGCTCCTTCGGTTCTGCTTTCCTCCATGGCCTGCTTTAACAGCTTCAATACGTCCGTTTCCTGCTCAATCGGCACTGCAGCATTTGTTTCCCCATTCGGTTCTGCATCCGCGACCAACCCGGGCGCGTCGGCCAATGCAATTCTCGGAAAGGCGGCGTCAAATGCCAGCCTTGGAAAAGTGATATTGTGATGCAATAACAGCTCTCCCTCTCCCAACACCCGGAGTTGTTTGGATGACAAAGGCCTCTCGGAGGAAGGCGAAATCGCAGCGGATTCGCTCAGCCACTGCGTTGCAGATGCATCTGCCGGTGACGACACGATCAGCACTCCCGCAGCAGCTGCTGCGAACACGTGACCCAAGGGACAGCTCCTTGTGTGACTCCGGCTTGCCTCCCTCCTCTCCTCGCAGCTGTTTGACGAACCCGACGATGACAGACCGTGCTCCCCCTCAGCAACTGTGCACGCCGTTGTCGTCGTCGCTTGGCCATTGCCTTCTTCCCCGCTTCCCCTCACAAGCAGTGTTTCACCCCTTTTACCACCTCCAACCCCCCTTTGCTGCACGTCGCACTTCAGCAGCCATTTGCTTCTACCATGAGTTGCGGACTTCGTTGTGTTCAGGCAATGCCTCTGCCAACAGCTATCTGATGAGCCAGCGACGTCATGGCCCCGCACAGGTACTGCACAGCGGCAGGACTAAACGCAATCCAACAACAACCAAGCCGACAAATCAGGGATAAATAACATGTCAAAGAGGGGAAGAAAACTGATATTAACTTTATTATGAAGTTATAAACTTGGAGAGTTTGTTTCTTTTTTCGAAAGAAAAAAGCATGGCTTCCCCGGACCTGGACACCGGCCCAGTCCAGACCTGGCCAGCTGGGCAGTCCAGATGGTATCTGGACATCCGGATATCCTGACCAATGTTACATGCAGCGCATGCACACACGGGCCATTTTGCAGGCCCGACGGCCATTTTGCAGGCCCGACTGGATTCAGGCCAAAACCCTGGATTTCAGGCCGAAAGCCTGAAATTCAGGGCTTACAGGCCCCATTTCGGTTCAGGCCGAAAGCCTGACTTCCAGGGCCTACAGCCCCTGCGACGGTTCAGACTAAAAATGGTAATAGCATTTTTAGCCTGAACCCAAGGGCCATTTTCGGTCGTTCATCAGAACGACCGGCCCTGAAACTCAGGCACCGAACCAGGGTTTTGGGAACAGCCTATATTTAGACTGTTCCCACGCCTGCCTCAAGCAGGCTGCTGCACGCCAGCCCCTGGCTCACTTCGGCATTGGCAAGAGCTGCCTCCTCGGCCTGCTCGCCCTCCTGCAGTCAGGAGGCAGGCCGAGGAAGTACATAGGACTTCCCAGGCACTCTCGGGGTAGGCAGTTCGGCAGTTGTAGTCTTTAGGATTCGGGTGCAGCACTCTGGAGGGAGCGCTGCGTTGTAGTAGTGGTAGCGTTAGCTAGTAGTCTTCAGCGCTGGGCGCAGTAGGTAGCTGTAGTCTCCAGCGCTGGGCGCCATAGCTAGGTAGTGCTAGAGAGAGAGAGAGAGAGCTTGGGCGGAGGCCAGAGGTACCTACCTGCAGCGCCGTTGCTCCAGCTTCGTCTTCGAGGTACCTGCAGCACAGCGCCAACATCACAGGTTAGTACTTGGTTCGTAACAGAGAGAGAGAGAGAGAGTTCTTCTTCTTCTTCTTCTCAGTCCACCATCTCTTCTCTACCTCTCACTTCTGACTTCACTGCATCTGCAGATTATGAGAGAAGAGATACAGAGCTTGGTGACATTGGATCCAGACTCGACTTTCGAGGGTTCAGACATGGCAACGAGGGACTATTTGGGACTGGTGACCAAGACTTGGTGTTAACGACATTCCCATCTTCTTCCCTCCTTTCGTCTGTTCCTTATCTCTTCGTCTGTGTATGTCTGGACCTGGCGCTTTCTTCCTGTGTGCAGCGCCAGGCTCCTTCACACTTCGTGATGGATACAATGCATGTTTAGTCTGAGTTCAAACATTGATTGGGCTAGTTAGAGGTACTCTAGCATTCTGCTTCGTTACTCTGAACTACGTGAATGAGGTCAGTCCTGTCAGGTCCATCTTGTATCAAAGTCTTCCCTGCGCTCTTCAGCATCTTTATGTATGAATGAGAATGTACATTGCTTGTCGAGATTCTACTCACACCGCATTGTCTATTCAGTCCTTTTCATCACATTGCAGATTCTCGGTTTATTACGTACATTGCATATCTGTGCATATAACACCAATCAGGATGGACATGGTCCGGATTACTGGCCCTCTTCCTGACGCAATTGAGATACATGATCTTATATCGACCTTTCTAAGTAAGCTCTGACTAGACCTAAACAAAGAAATCAAGATATCGCATATTCGTTCCGGATTCTTCTTCCTCGCCGAATCCTCGGTACCCAAATATCGCGTGGTAAAAGCAGAAGATACGAAAGAAAGAAAAGATTGTTGTTGCATGCACCCATATCAGGAAACCGTTCGGATTGGTATGGATCCGAAAAATAAAATTTTAAAAAATTGTCCCTCCGGACATCCGTTAAAATTGGACCACTACAGAGAAGGTGAACATGGCCCCTGCGCAAGGATGACACACATAAGTCGAGAAATGGTCCAAATTAATTTTTTTTTATAAAAAAAAGGGTCTCTTACTGCTTTGAGACTGTTTTTTTTTTGGCATGGCGTGTAAACACTCAATTATTTTAGGATCTCTTCTGGGCCAGCCAAAAGAAACCAATTGTCTGGTGACCAACCGACCATCCACCACACTCTCACTCCATTCACAGACGACTTGAAGATGATGCACACACATCAAAGCACAGGTAAGACTGTCTCTCAAAGATAATATCTGCCAATCAACTCAATTATACAGAATTGTCTGTATACAAGAAGGTGCAGCTATGGCCACCAGCAAGACCTCTCAGGTATGGTTGCTCTCTCCCTCACCAAGGTCTCTCTCTCTCTCTCTCTCTCTCTCTCTCTCTCTCTCTCTCTCTCTCTCTCTCTCTCTCTCTCTCTCTCT